AAAAAAAATAAGAACCGAGAGACTCATGTAATGGTACAAGATCCCAATGATGAATGTAACTGTATTGTATACCGAAAATGTACCAATAAACTTAATGGGGGGCGGGGGGAGATATTAAGCCAGGTGCAGTGGCATACATCTATAACCCCAGCTACTTGGAAGACTGAGACAGAAGGAAAGCAGTTTGAGGCTAATTAGGTAACTCAGTGAAATCCTATTTTGAAAAGTAAAAAGGGCTGGGGATATATATGTAGCTAGTGTGAAGGCCCTGAGTTCAATCTCCAGGATCTTTCTCTCTCCCTGTCTGTTTCTCTGCCTCTCTTTTTCTCTGTCTCTGTTTCTCTCACATACAGTTACATCCATAAATGGCATGTTATATAGCTATTAAAAATACTTATATACAAATATAGAGTCAGATTGGAGTTAGTAGGAATTTGTTTTGTTTTGTTTTTTGCGGTACCAGGGATTGAACTCAGGGCCTTGAGCTTGCGAGTCAGGCACGGTACCACTGAGCTAAATCTCCAGCCCCAAGCTAGTAGGAATTTAAAAAAAACAAAGTGTGTATTAGTCCATGTGATTACTAACATGTAGCATGATATCTATGTTGTATAAAACTACTGAATTCATAGCAGGAAAAAGAATACACGATTACCCAACTTTAAGGAAAGAAAATATTAGTGAGCTTTACTGAAATCTTCAAAACATTTACGAGGGTAGAGGAAGCATGCATACACAGAATGTTGTCAGATGACTCAAGAAATTGGTAAGTGTGGTGGCCTTACAGAGGGACACAGGGAACTGGAATGAAAGAAAACTTAGAATTCAATGCATATTTTTGGCACTGTTTAAACTTAATACAAAATGTCCATATTTGCTATTCAAAAATAAGTCCATAACAAAAAACAAAGAAAGCTTACCTGGCTGGACAGGTGGCTTTGTAGAGCTGACATGACCTGCTTTCCTGTTCACTGATTTTTTTTAACTGGAACCCTTTTCTCCTTGGCCCATATTGACACTCCATTACCACAGCTCTACTCCCTGCAGGCCAAAACCAACTGTTGATATTAATACATATGTCTATCTATTATAGACACTAGATTAAAAATAACCTGGTAATGGCAATGTCAAAATGTACACTTGTAATTACATGTGTTTATGGAAAGAAAACACTGGAATGTCTAAGATGTACAAACACAAATTTAAAAGTTTATCACAAAATTTGCCAAATGTACCTTAATTATAAAGCAAACAACACATTTACTGAATATTACTGATAGAAATAAGATTTTAATAATAAAATGTATCTCTTTATAAATAGAAATTAACAAATGCTACATTTGGTTAATAATTGTATCATTTAGAAATTCATTTCATTTTATAACTATTTATTTTCTTATTTTTATTTGGGCTGTTAGAATGATATAACCAGACTCTAAGATGGCTCCAATGCATCCCAGCATTCATTTCCTTGAGTAATGATGTGATATCTGGAATTTGCTGTAAAATCATTTACAGGAATAAAGAAGTAGGTGGGATTATAAATGAGACCAGACTGACCATATGACAGAGGCTGAAACTCTATGAGAGACCCCTGAAATCATGGAATTTCTTATTACCTCTATTTTGACATGCATATGAAAATTGCCATAATATAGAGATTTTTTAAAAGTCTGGCAATGCAGCTAGGTGTGGTGGCATATGCCTGTAATCCCAGCACTGGTCAAGAGGATTGCATGAATTCAAGGCTATCTTGGGCTACATAGAGTTCAAGGTCAGCCTGAGGTACATAGTGAAACCCTGTCTCAACAACCCATTCATTCTCCCCCAAAGAAAAGTCTGGCTAAGTGAATGTGGGAAAGGGAAGGGAAAGGGAAAATTTCACACACTGCTGAAAGCAGTGAAAACCAGAAGGTCATCATTCCTTTATAAGCAAATTTGAAATCTAAAAAGCTCAGGAAAATAAGTTTTTTGGAACTTGTTTGGCTACAAAATGAGATCTAAACTGTGTGAAGCTGTTTACAATCTATTGTAGCTATTTACAATCTATTTTAGTGTGATTACCCAAAAGATCATATGATGCTGTCTATACAATACATTTTTTTGGTACCGGGAATCAAACTCAGAACCTTGTACTTGCCAGGCAGGCACGGTTCTGCTAAGCTAAATTCTCACCCAAAGGTAAGTGGAACTATCAGGTTTTTGGGTTTTTAGTTTTTGTTTTTTGGTATCGGGGATCAAACTCAGGACCTTGCATTTGCGAGGCAGGCACAGTACCACTGAGCTAAATCCCTGTCCCCTATTCAATACTTACAAAGAGTGCTCTGTAAACTTACTGTTACAAAACTACAGAATTGTCAAAGATGTGGTCCAAAAAATTTGAGAAAGGAGTAACCACTTTAGAAAGCAATTTGAGATAATCTTGCAAAGATGAAATTTTTGGCATATTTTACAATTCCACCTTAAGCCTGGCTCATACTCTAGAAAAACTAATTATACCTTTTATCAAAGACTGACTGTTACACTCTTTCTAATAATAAAAAGTTGGAGACAATCTAAATGATAGTCAATGGAAAAGTATACATGGTTGGTCACATGCTAGAATATTATACAATAGTCAAATCAAATTAATTAGGACCTGTAAGTACAAATATGAATAAGTTTTAAAATATGAATGAAAAATTTGTAAAACAATGTTTGGTTTATTATTTAGGTATATTTTTAAATATTCAAAACAATAAAATACACCATTTTAATTAGAAATATAAAATGATAGAGATATAGGAAGTAGGGAGAAATTCAAATAATTACCTAAGTTCTCTATGCCATAGTTTCAAAAATAATTCAGTATATATGCTAATTTGTTTCACTTATACTACTAGTTTCTCTTGGTTCATTGAAAAGACAGTTATGTGCTGTTATCTGTTTCTTTTTTGTAAGAGAGTTTTTTGTCTATAACTTGTATTCTGAATAACATTTTGGCCATTTTTTTAAGATTATTGTTATTCTCTCTATTTTGTTATGAAATTTTGCTTTTTTATAGAAGGAAAGTGGTCTTTATGTTTTCTTTATTAATATTTACATGTATCACATTAAAATATTTTTTAAAATTAAAAACCACAGACTGGTACATATGCCTAGTAAGTCGAAGGCCCTGGGTTTGATCCCCAATACTATAAAAAATAAAATGAAATAAAACAAATTGGAGGGCTGGGGATTTAGCTCAGTGGTGCCACGCTTGCCTTGCAAGTGGGAGGTCCTGAGTTCAATCCCTGGTACAAAAAACAAAAAAAAAAACACATTGGAAAGAAATACACAAAGTCATTTAATGGCTATCTATGATGAATTAAAAAGGGGATTAGAACTAGGGGAGGAAAAAAGAGAAATTCAGGACATCAAGGATTTTTTTGTTTTTCTGAGTTTTTTTTTCCCCTTATGTGTTGGGGACCAAATCTAAAACCTCATACATACTAGGCAAATACTCTATCTCTGAACTCTATCCCAGCCCCTTCATACTTACCTTTGAGGCTGTATTTCTTTTATAGAATACTGATGAAACCTGGGCAGAAGAGGTTGCATTTATCTTACAATCTTTTTTTTTTTGGTACCGGGGATCAAACTTGGGACCTTGCACTTTCAAGGCAGGCGCCAGAACCACTGAGCTAAATCCCTGGCCCAATCTTACAATCTTTTAAATCAACCTTTCTTTCTTTATTATTGTTTTCTTCAGTGGTAGGAATTGAACTCAGGGCCTCATGCATGCTAGGTAAGCACTCTACCACTCAGCTACAGCCACAGACTTAAATATTTCTTATTAACCTCAGAGTTCAAGGGATGAGACCGCAATTCTTCTATCTAAATTAGTGCCTTCATAGTCCAAAAATAAATCACTTATTTTTAGGTTCTTTGGGGTGTAACTAGTCCTGCAGTAGATCTCTGGGGATTGCTTGAAACTCTTCCACTACAGTAAACACTAACCCAGTGTCTGAGAATATTACATGTAACATATTCGGTGCTTGAGAACTTTAATATGTTAACTTGATTGCATACAAATTCTGTATGTTAACTAGAGTTATAAGCTACCTAAAATGGACACAAATTTGTCCTGCAAAAACAAAATTAAGAAAGGAGAGAATATTTGGATTTGCAGGGGGGCATGGCGGATATTATATTTTAAAAATAAAATTTCCCTTTTTATATTTTATTAAATAGGCATACCTGGAATTTCAATATTTTAATTTTCTATTCATAAGCATAAAGTATAAAGAAAGCATTATTTATTCACTGATATATTAAAATACAAATTTATGACATTAAGTAATTGGTTATATTTACTATGAGTTTTTAGTTTAATACGCATTTTAATCAATTAACATTCAGTTATCATCTACCAAAATGAAAATGTATTACCTTAGGAAAATCACATTATTACAATGGACAATGGCTGCTAATGAACCTTTTAAAATAATTCTGTAAAAGAGTACCTGCATTGACAAAGGGGATTCCATCATATGGGACATACTGGGATTTCCACATCAAGCGTGTAGCAGGTTTGGCTGGGCTTGGAGACTGGCGAGTCCCCCAAACACTCTGTGTTTGCTGCTTGTGAAATGTTAAGACACTTTCTAATTCAGTCTCACTTACACAGTAGCCACGGTATGAATCTCCAATTTTCTGCAAGTAGTAGAAATTGAATAATAAACTTATTAGCAAATATGCTTCACTGTATAATAAATTTGAGATGGTTGTCTAATATGAAAAACTCCTCAGCTTTCAAAAGAGAATGTCAGTTGTTCTCTCAGATCACTTGGTCTATTACAATCAGTGGGCTGGATCTGAGTTCAGCTAGTATCATCAAATAGATATTCTCCATGTATTTGCTAGGGAATATAATGCCAAATATACTGCCACACTACCTTTATCAAAATCTTGTTTGCAAGAAATAATATTGAGAAAGGAGTGAAGAACATGCAATGTATCCATTCTTCTAGATATCTAAAGTTCTGCTGGATCAAATCCAGATCAGCATAAAACTAACTACAAAGTACTGATTCCAGATGAGCCTTCTTTTAACTAAGATTAATTTTAATATGATGCTATTTTAATATTTAATATGAATCAATATGAAACCTAATGAAAATTGTGACTGTACCTTCTATAAAAATGCTACAGAATAATTGGCTCAATATATCAATATTTGTTTTATGAAGATTCTTCTCAAACAGAAATTACTATTTGGCCTTAGTACCAACAATAGTTGGTAGTTTGTGTTTATTTTATGGAAATTAGTATAGTTTCTCTTGTCTAACAGACTCTTTTTTTTTTTTTGTGGTGCTGGGGATCAAACCCAGGGCCTAATGCATGCAAGGCAAGAGCTCTACCACTAAACCACATCCCCAGCCCCAGATTCAGTCTTTACAAATTAACTAGTTTTTGCCTTTTGAAATCTACATACTTAAGTATAAACAAGTGTGTATAGGCATACATGCACAAATGTAGTTCATTCAGATATATATTTAAAACAAGGCAAGGTATAAACAAATTGTAAAAAAACTGATTTTTTTTTTATTTCAAAAGAAAAAATTTGTTAACAGCAGTTTCTCAGACTGCATTAAGATCTAGAATTAACTTCACGTATTTTTCCTCCTTAGAGAAAATAAGAGCAAAGATGTGGGCATGGAGATCTTGTACTTTCTCATTAGACTAAATATTTTATCTAGAACAAAAAGGAAGATATCAAAGAAAAAAAAGAGAAGATATCAAACTACTATGGTATAGTTGGGCATGGTGGCTTATGCCAGTAATCATAGCACTCTGGGAGGCTGAAACATGACTGCAAATTCAAGCCAAGACTCGGCAACTTAGTGACTTAGAGCCGTCTCAAAATAAAAAATAAAAAAAAGGACTGAGAATATAGCTCAACGAAAAGGTCCTGGGTTCAATCCCCAGTACTCCCCCCCAAGAGCAGCCAAAAACAAAGAAACAGAAAAACCTGCTGTGACTGTACTTTTGTCCATAATAAAAAATAACCTGATGGCAGATATTATCTACACTTTCTCCTAAAAATAATAAAAATGCTATGCTGACAGTCTCTTCTGGTCTAGATAGTTCTTCATCAAGATACTTTCTACAATTAAAATTAGGAATACAAAACCTACCTGCAATATTTTTATATAAATAAAATGAAGAGAATATATAAGGAAAAATTTTAAATTAGTATAATTATAATCAGGCCTAGAGATATGTAGGTAAGTCATTAAATGAGAAATCAAAAAGTAAAAAGGATTACTAAAAAATATTTTTTTCCTTTCTTTTTTTTGTACTGGGGATCAAACTCGGGACCTTGCACTTGCACGGCAGGCACCAGAACCACTGAGCTAAATCCCCTGCTCTAAAAAATATTTTAAAGTAAAACACAGAAAATATTTCTTTGGCTATTAAGCAAAAATGGTTTTTACTACTGCTATAGCTTGGAAGAAGAAAAGGATCCATGAGTAGGAAAGATTACTCTGTTGGATACTTTTTACTAGTGTTTTATAAGATATATGACTTTAAGGAAAGCCATGAAATGTAAAATAGTTGTAAAATAAGGTGATTTGACCACATGATTGTGAATGTTCTAATATCCATAGCATTGTGTGAGGTTATAAAAATGATCTTTAAACACCTCATGAAACAATCAGAACAACAACTTGAGGAAACTACTGAAAAACCACTGTATGACCAACAAAAAGTGCGGGTGAAAAAAATCAAACACACACATATACACACATATGTAACTTAGAAAAGCAAGAATAATGATAAAGAGCTAACAGATGCAATATATCATATTGTAAAACCTTGTATTATTAGAATTTTTCTTAAAATATTAAATTTAAAGAAATGGTTCTCATTCTCGTATTTTAAGATTTGTTTAAAACAATGAAGCATTTTTTTTTTGGTACCAGGAACTGAACTCAGGGCCTCATGCTTACCAGGCAGGCACTGTACCACTGAGCTACATCCCCAGTCCAACAATGAAGCATTTTAATAGTTAATTACTCATTATCATCTATAGCTGACATACAGAGAAGGCATAATCTCTTCCCTCAAAAAAATCTAGTAATTATATAATAATGAACAACTCATGCTATTAAGAATGTCAATCAATGGAAAAATCAAATGAAGGGCTAAAGATACTAGCACATTTTTAGAAAGTAAGAGAACTAGGTTAACAAAAATGGAAGATAAGCTAGAGAAAAGTAGAAAATAAAATAGGACAAAATAAGATGATATCATATTATGGAAGATGTTTTGTTTGTTTGTTTGTTTTTTCAGGGTGGCCTTAAACTCACTATGTAATCCAGGCTGGCCTTGCTTGCCTCAGCCTCCCAAGTGGTGAGATTACAGGTGTGCACCACCCTACTTGGAAGATTATGGAAGACTTTAAAAGCTAACTGGCTAAATAATGTGGAAAAAAAAAACCCACTAAACTTATTGGGCAGTGAGAAAAGACAATGAAAATAGTATTTAAAGATAAATAGTTTTATAAAAATACACATTAGAAACCAGAAATGGAAGTGTCAAAGAGAATAGGAGACGCCAGGTGTGGTGCCATATGCTGTAATTCCAGGACTTGGAAGAGCCAAGAGGATCACTGTGAATTCGAGGCCAGCCTAAACCATGTAGTAAGACCTTGTCTCAAAAAATACCTCACCTCTGAGAGGGGGGGAGGGGAGAGATTAGGAGGAAGACTATTACTATAATCAAGTGTAAAATAAGAAAAGTCTATGGAAGAATGGGGGAAAACTATAACTTTAAATGAAAAACTTAAATGAACAAAACATGTATCCGAATGTAGAAAAGGAAATTAGTCTAAAACTTTGTGCCTGGGTGTCCAAGAAAATGTTATTTGTCACTACATAGACAAGAAATTTAGGAAGTAGAGCTAGTGACATTTCAACTTGGGATAAAGTTAACAATGAGGGAAAATCCAAGTAAAGCTTCAAGTAGTAGCTGCATATCTGGGAAAAGAGTAAGAATTAAGGAACTTGTGATATAGATCTGAAAATCATTTAATAGCTGTAAGAGTTGAAATTCAACAAACTAAATAATCCTTCTAATAGATAAATGTAGAAAAAGAACTTGGGCATGGTGGTGAATGCTTGTAATCTCAGCACTCAGGAGGCTAAGGTAGAAGGACCATTCTGAGTTCAAGGACAGCTTGGGCTACATAGTGAGACCCTGTCTCAAAACCAAAACCAAAACCAAAACCAAACAAAACCAAACCATGTACAAAGAGATGACAAGGTCAAACGTGAGAACTGAAGAATTTCTACTGAGACTATGAAAAGAAGTAGATGCAAGCACAGAAAGAGAAGGAATGGTTCAAAAATATAGATAGAGACACATGAGAGTGAACTTTCTTAGAAGACAAGGGAATGAACCTGCAAGAGAAGAAACAATAGTAAAGTGAGAATAACCTCTGGTTTAACAAAGCTTATAGTCTCCAAAGAATAAAAGAAAAAGATGAGGTCAGATTTAGTAAAATACAAAGCACTATAGACATATCCTGTATTAACTGTACTCAGAAGCGGGCATTTTGAGATGAACTGTGGTAATAATTAGTTAAATGATTCTTGGTAAAGGTTATTTTAACTCACCTCACAGCTCCTAAGACGGCAGGCCCATATAGGTGTGTTAGAAGAAAGAGGCTGGAGAGGAGCCAGCAAAGGTTCATCAAGCATTCTGGGGTAGAGAAGAAATACATATATAAACACATAATTCTACACACATGAAAGGCATTTAATTGCTCTATACTCTTAGACAGTGTCAAAGACAGTATCTTGAGACCAGCTGTATTCTTCTCATTATGCAATAATTTTTCATTTATCAAAAAAGAAGCTAATAAAACAACTTCAGATGACTTGTTATGAATAACAAACATAGCTGGGTGTGGTGGTGCAAGCTAGTAATGCCAGCTTTTGGGAGGCTGAGGCAGGAGGACTGCCATTCAAAGCCAGCCTTGGTGAGTTCAAGATCAGCCTGAACTACATAGTGAGACCCTGTCTCAAAAAGAAAAAAAAAAAAGTAATACTGTGAGTCCATGAAAAGATTCTTGATTCTTTATGTCTCTAAATTATTTGAACAGAGCTATTTCAAGACAAAAAGTAAAAAAAAAACAAAAACCAACAACAAAACCTGAAATAGCAAAAACATTTTATCACAAAAGAATTATATGCACAAAAATGTGATGAGACCATTAAAAATGTTTAGGAACTGGAAGGGATATCTTTTTGTTTTATAATCTATTAGAAATGATGATGCCTTCATATAGCTTCAAAAGATCCATAGCCAAGTGACACCACGGAAGAGCAGCACATTTGATGTGTATAGTTTCTACAGCAGCTTTATTTTCAAGGTGCCAGGGCCAGGGATTTAGCTCAGTGGTTTTGCTGCCTGCTGCGCAAGCGCAAGGACCTGAGTTTGATCCCCGGTACAAAAAAACAGAGATTATTTTCAAGGTGCCATTAAATTAATTAAATTTATACCTGATGATAATTTCTTCCATTTTCTGAATTTTTCATCTTTTTTATAGTCAGTCACTTTTAGATGTGATAATTTTAAAAAAGATTTTCATGGTGCTATCAAAAGATGAGGTTCTCAGGGCTGGGAATTTAGCTCAGTGGAGGCGATGCCTGCCTTCCAAGCACAAGGTCCTGAGTTCGATCCCTGATACCAAAAAAAAAAAAAAAAGAGCTTCTCTTTCCAATCAACTCACCTGGTCACGGACTTTCTGGGCAATGTGAGGGACGTGCGTGGGTGAAGGATGTAATTACTGGTGCTGTCTGCCACAGCATCCACTCTTAGTACATTTCTGTCACTGGATTTCTCTTCAGAAATATCTTAACACAAGAATAAGAATAAAGTAACATCAGTATTTTGAACAACACTATAAAAATGTATCTAACTAGACCTTCTATATTTGTAATAAGAAAAGACAGAATTGTTCTGAAGCTAAAGACAATAAAATTTAAAATGCTTTATTGAAAATGTCTCCAATAAACTTGGTTACTTTTAAATTATAATACTGACTACTGAAATTTTGTAATTAAGTTTTTAGAACTTATACTGAAAGGACAGGATATGAAAGTGGCAGAAATAATTGTTATACTAAAAGAATTTTATAATAGGAAATATAGAACATTTTTATTTATATACTGTATTTGTTTTCTGAGGTTTTTTTTAGTGACTGCTAACAAAGAATAATAAAATGAAGTTATAAACATCTACCTCAGCAACAAAATACTGTAGCTATAATTTTAGAAAATGGATTCAAATAGATGGGAAAGAGAAGAAAGTAAAACAAAAGAATAGGGATATTATCAAACAGGTAAAGAAAGAATATGTGAAAAGAAATGAGGTGTTTTTTTTTTAATCTGAAGGAATACAGAAAAGAGGTAAAGGGTAAAAGGATAAAAATGACAGTTTAAAAAGGTAATGAGCCACAGGTCTAACAAAAATATTAATAAAAATGCAAATGTAAAAAACTCCTAAAGCTAAGTACTCTAGTCTTGTTATTGTTGCTGTTATTATTACTGTTATTATAATTAAGAAGAATTTATTTTATGCTCACTGGTCATTTGAGAGGAAGCAGGAGTCAACTAGCTTCATAGAATTCCAAAATGAAATACACAGCTAACCTAGACAGGAGTTGAAAAATGAACTTGAAATTTATTTAGGCTGAGATTTTTTTCTAATTATTTAGTTCACAATTTCACCTAAAGAAATCAATTTTAACACTGACTTTCATAAGGTGATTTTCCAGAATATTCTCAAACATTCTCAAATCCATGATTACTTACCCTGAGGACTGTTTGCATCCACAAGCTGCCCCTGAGGTATAATCACTTGTCCCATTCCTGTCTGGGTAGATGGAATTACATGAAGCACCTGTCCATTCTCTGATGGGCTAGCAACGATCATCTTGGAAGCATTAAAAAAAAATTAAATGCACAGGCCTACAGTGATTTAACAGGATATATCGAGCTGAAACCAAACCACATACCTATCTCTACAGAGGATATTATTTTCTCTATTTTATAAATGAAAAGATTGAGACACACAAAAATATCCCCCCAAGTCTCACAACTGATAGGCGGCAAAGCTAGGGTTCAAAACAGTCAGTTTGACCTGACAGACCATGGTCTTAATTAATTATGGTCTCTTTTTTTGGTTTTTTGAGACAGGGTTTCACTAAGTAGTTCAGGCAGGCTTGAACTCACTATGTAGGCCAGGCTCGTCTCGAACTCACAGCAATCCTCCTGCCCCAGTCTTCCAAGTGTTGGGATTACAGGTGTGTGCCACCACCCCTGGCTATTATTTATGGTCTTAATCATTACAATACATACATGAACCCTAATTACTTAGTAATCCGAACATGGCTGTAATTGAACTTTATACATTTATGCTCTGCTACTTGTATTAGCCATACGTGTTCAACTTAGTTGTGTAGCAATCATTGTCTGATATTTTAAGTCATTTGGATTGGTTAAAAATGGTAACTTTTTTATTAAACAGGATTTTTATATTTCTGCATTTATGTTTCTGTCTTGTTTCATAAAGATGACTATGGAGTGTCCAAAAAGTCTGAACTCACCAGGAAAATGGTGAATTATTTTTATTTATTTTTCAGTTGTTAAACTGAAAAAACCTCAAAAAGTAGAATGATATAAATAGAATCATAAACATTTCCCAGAAATTAAGAGTGGAAATTGTTTCCTTCCTTCAATATTTATCAGGTTTGAGATAAAAGTATCTTGCTGTATTTCTTATCACTTACGCACGAAAAATCAATTGTAAACACTGGTAATAATAACTGCTTACATTGAGTACATACTAAGTGGTAGGATTTCAGGTATGTTATCTCCTTTAATCTTCACCATACATACATGAAATATATACATTTTATAAATGAGAAAATTGTCTTTTATAAAAGAGGTTACAGAACTATTTAGTGGTGATCTAAAATTCAAATCCAGGCATTCTTAGCGCTTTTAACCATTACCTTACTCTGTACTGGCTTCCAATATCTGATAGCAAAAACAAAACACTATAATCACAGTTGGTGGTGCACACCTGTAATCTCAGCACTCTGAGGAAGATGAGGCAAGAACATCACAAGTTTAAGCCCAGTCTCGGCAATTTAGAAATTTAGCAAGAAGCTGCCTCAAAAATAAAAAAATGAATGGGCCAGGGATGTAGCTCAGTGGCACCGTGCCTGCCTGGCAAGCGCAAGGTCCTGAGTTTGATTCCCAGTACCAAAATATAAAAATAAAAAATAAAAAGTTCTGAGAATATAGTTCACTGAGAAGGCCCTGGGTTCAATCCCCAGTACTCCAGGAAAAACAAAACAACAACAAAAATGCTGCTGGACTTAAAAGGAAAGCAAGAATAATAATACTGCTTTTAAATTCCTTACCCCTTAGAATATAAACTAATAAAACCACTATGGAAATCAGTATAAGACATTCCTCAAAAAAGTAGAAAAAGAAATTCCATTCAACCCAGCTATTCCCCTTCTGGTATCTTCCCAAAAAAGTTAAAAACATCATACTTCAGTGACACATTCATACCCATATTTATAACAGCATTCGCTAAATCTTGGAATCTGCCTACAGAAGGACAAATTTGACTCATTCGTAGGCAAATGGATGCACCCTGAGACAATAATGTTAAATGAAATAAACCAGACACATAAGGTTAAGTATTGGATGATTTCTCTTATATGGAAAAAACAAAATATAAATAAAGAGCAGGGCCTGGGATTTAGGTCAGTGGTTCCGTCACCTGCCTTGCAAGGGTAAGGTCCCGAGTTTGATCTCCAGTACCAAAAATAAAATAAAAATAAAAATTACAGGCAAATATCTTTAATGAACATAGCTACAAAACTCTCCAACAAGTTACTGGCAAAAAGAATGTACCAAATCATCA